TTGCATTTGTCCGAAAACCCACATGTTGATCTGTTGTTGATTTACTGGATGTGGTTGGAGATACACCAGAAAACACAGAGCCTGGTTCCAGCCCTGAGCGGCAGCCCGGTGTGGAGGTTCCAGTTTGTTTTCGATTCCCTTTAGGAGACTTTGAAAATCGTGAATGAGATGAACTAGCCGCTGCGTGACTGCTGCTCTTTACGCCAGCAGAGAGTTTGCTCTGCGCAGGTTTGGGCCTGATATTTATAGGCATTTTTCTTCAACATATAGAGAAGGTGGACTTGGGAGAGAAAGCTTTTCACATAAGTTTGGGATGAAGGCCTAATCTCAGTCCATCTCTGACTGACTGTAAGGCCTAAAGCTCAGTGACTGGTGACACTGGGACTCCATGACAGAGAGGTTAAAGACTGAGGTTTCAGCTCCACTGTAGCCCATCCTGGAACCTAAAATGACAGGAGACAGACGTCAGGGTGAAGAACAGATACCAAATAATACATACAGCACATGGTTGTGTTTAGAAAACTACCAAGAAGGTCTAGTTCAGTGGTGCACAATTCATAGATTTAGATTTAAGGAATAAAGATACAGCTCAGGTTGTCATAAATATGCAAGAAAATAAACATTCAACATATATCCATAAGCACAACAAGCCGTAATATCATCTTATAGACTTTACTCTGTTAGTATCAGAACATGAATTACATATTGTTTTGAAACACTGACAGATTATCGTTAAATGAATGAGATGAATTAGGCCATGAATTAGACCTATGGACTGGGGGTTGGGGATCCCTGATATATATATACAGTATAATATAAAACAATATCAGTAACTAAGATTATTCAATGAAAGTCTAGTTCCTGGACATAAGTTTTAGAACAATCTCTTCAATCTTCAGTGTTTTCATTATGAAAATGGAATTTAGTCTTAAAGGTGGATGTCTTTTATAAACATGGTCACACACTGACATAACAGCAGCTGGGTAAGTAACGGACAAAAAATGCATTTACAACAGGCATGCAACAGCTCTGATAGATGGTTAAGAATCAGAGAGAAATATGTTTGCAAGCTTTGTAGCTCTGGTCATTTGTAGATCCAGAATGTTAGAAGGAAGTTGTCACTCTTATCAGCTTTACTGTATGATAGAAGGACAGAGAAACTACAGTACTGTGGTCCTGGTATTTGTTTCAAAGTCATGTCAAAACCTATTCTCTGACCACAGCCTTTTTTTCATAGATGATGAACACAGACATCTCTTTGTGTTCAAGCCTTACCGTACACAGCAAACAGGAGTCATGGGAGGAAACAATCAGATGGAAGACAAAGCACAGAAACGAACACGTTAGGTAATCCATAAAAAGACAACGATGGGGGACAAAGACACGGGGTTAGAATAGAGTGCAAATACACTGCGGCAGACAGAACAACGCAGGTTACACACCTCAGGGCAGGGCAGACAATCCAGGAGGATGTTCTCAAGTGATGGATCGGGGTTATGAAAAGTGCAAAACTGAACTAGAAATAATTAGAAATGCTTAAAAACAATAGGAATACTAAATGATACAACTGTTTCTGTTAAAAAATATCCTGCTGGGAATATGGTAGACATTCAAACAGTACTTGTGGATTAGTACTGCAGAGATCACCTCATTTAAGGGTTGGTACTGTGCCTTTAAATCATGCTTTACTATCCTTATGTATGATATACAGTATATTTCGTGTATTTGTGAATTTAATATTAATATATATTACATATTATATATATTTTTTTATATATGATGGCTTTGACCAATAATTGAAAAGGCGGAGTTTACGTAGCCTGTTCACACAGACAGTTCTTTAGCAGGTTTTTAGTGAGTCTCTGTGGGACTGGAACTCCTTAGAGCTTCCTTTATTTAAAATGTGGCTGTCAATAGCTTAGCCATAAGAAGGTAATATAATTTTTGTACTAGAAAATGTAGAAACCTATAACAATCAGACTCAACAAAAGGAAAATCAGCACAAACCCGTGTGTGATGGAGTTGATATTAGTCTCTGAAAGCGAAGGCAAATCCAAATTATAATCCCACCTTCTAATCTAAAGAGGATTGGGTGGTGAAATCTACTCTGTGGGATTCTGATGAGAGATTGGTTAAATCTGCTTGTCAGTCATAAAATGCCCGTCAATCCCTCATCCATCATTGTTCCAGAGATGAGGTCTGGCTCATGAGACAGAGGTGGAACAAGGACCCTAATGGTGGAACACCGGCTGGTCATCTACATCTGTCGGGGATGTTAACGCACGAAAGACCGTCATTTTGACATGTAAAAACTATTGTTTGACATTATTGTGCACGTAAATCATTGACGGTGGACAATTTTTAACGGCAGGTTTACGCGGCAGTATTCACCGCTTTTTGATAGTTGCGGTGACAATATAAATACTTAAATTCTGTGTATATAGAATGAATAAAAACAGAAAACTTCCTCTTGGGTTTCCAAAGCCTGTGCACTTACTTGGAAGTGGTTGTCAGCCAGCTGTTGCGGCGGAGAGCGGTCGAGTCTCCATCCGAACTGTAGCACCAACAGTCGAGTTGTGCGTGATCGCCGATGATCCACGACACGCCTGAAGTTCACGCACGACCATTCACCAGGCACTTCGGTGGTTTTCGTTAGTGGAACGCCTGACGTGGTGCGTTAAAGCGCACATCCTTGCTGACTTTGCGTACGGATGACTCCGGATGACTTTACTACGCAGGATTAGTTAGTGCACAAACACACACACACACACACACAGAGCTGACTTACATAATAAATTGATCTGACAGACAGAGAGAGAGAGAGAAAGAGCACTTTCATTTGTGTAAATCTGTTTAGAGCAGTGGTCCCAAAGTGGGGGGCGGGTCACCCTAGGGGGCAAGGGGGTAAATGCAATGCAGGGTAAGTGCCCCACTTGCAAAAGTGAGGCACTGCTAAATGATTTTTGAAACCATTGAGTTAGAGTGAAAACATGAAAAAAAAGACACAAGATAGAGATAATTAACAAAATAGCAAAAGTGAAATAAAAGACGTAAATATAAGGTGAACATTTTAAATGCCACGTTTACTGTACATAAGATGAACCAAGAAACAAAAACTAAGAAATAGTACAGTGAAAAAAGTATTAAGCGGTTTACAAATGTGAGGCTAAAAGACAAATAAAACAATACGTTACATCGCAAAAGGAAAGCAACCTTTGAATTTTTGAAGAAACCTCATAGGTGGTGGACTGATTTCCGTGCCTCTCGATTAAATTAATTTTTACACTGATTTACGTGCCTCTCGATTAAATTAATTTTTACTGCCAATTACTGACATACTGTAGTGTAGCTGTATGTAGTACATGCAACCAAACTTGGAAAAAAAAAAGTAAAAGCTTCAAATTGCTCAGTCCTCTTTTCTTTTTATGCCTTTTAATTTGCCAGTAGTCAGTGGGGAACGTTGCATTTACAAGTAATTTATAGTTTAATAATTTAGCAATATTTTGGTTTGAAATGAGCCCAACTTTTCACTGAGTGAAAAGTTGGGCTCAATAACAGCAATATTTGTCCCAACTTGTAATTACCATAACCCATTTTTCTGTATTTCAGTCACCTGGTTCTCCATCAAACCACGTTCAACAGTCCTCTTGATGTGGTGGAAAATATTTTATTTAATTTTTGTCCAAGTAACAGATTTGGATTTATGCTGATTTATGTTGATTAATTCAACAAATGTTGAGATAGTTAACAAGTTATGTTGTGTAACTATCGTTTAGCTTCTCCCAGACACAATGTTGTCTTTATCTAATGAATGAAAACAAAATAGAGAACTACAAATGCTTTAATGTGGTTCCCATAACCAGTATTACAAGAGCTGTGTCACCAAAAACACCCAAACCACAGCGTTGTATTTGAAACCACTACTGGGTCCCAACTGATCAACGACTGCTAAAACCCAAAACAGCTAATGCAAAAATTACAAACTAAAATGGTTACAAAGGAAGGCTACTTTATGTCTTTATGAATACATTTCTGTGTTAGAAATCTCAGAGCGAGGAAAAGTGATAGACGTCAAGGATGTTCCGGATAAATATTGTCCAAGAACTTTAATTAATTAAATGAAGTACAGTTACTGTGGCTGTCACTTTTCCAAGGTATCAGGTAACAACAGTATGGAGGACAGGACAGAGCTTTGAAGAGTATATGATGATGCAAATTTTAATAACTGTACTTGGAATCCAGTGGACTTATTTACACCTGAAAGAACTTTAAGTGTTTCCTTATAATGTTTGTCGTCATTGCTACCTAAAGTTAGTGTTGGGCTAAGACTAATCAACTGTTTGAGACAGTCTAGTTTGATCTCCAGTGTGCTTTAAAATCATGAGTCTAACCTTCAGAAATCATTTTGTGAATTTTGAATGAAAGGTGACAGCCCCCAGTACTGACGTGATTTCAGTGTTTGGAGGCTTCTTTGGCTTTGGGCTGGACCCTGACACCTGGCCGTGATCACTTCGCCAAGTGCTGGATGATCCATAGAGCAGCGTTCACAAAGCCATCCGACTCTGCATCCACGTTGGAAATAGAGTGGTTGTTTCCTGGGTACCACAGCAACCTACAGAAACACACGGTACATGAGAAGCTAACTTCAAAACAACACGCACAGCCACTGCAATGTCTGCCTGACATTCTAAAGGACAACTGTCTCACCGCACAGGAAGCTGCCTGGTTTTCAGAGCTCTGTAAAATTCAATTCCCTGTTTGTTTGGCACACGTTTGTCATCTGCTCCTAAGAGGAGCAGAACTGGGGTCTGGACCTGAAAACAATAATGAAAAACGAGTAGATACAGTCGGGGTTACAGATTGTCCATGTAACAGATCAATCCATTTTTAGAAAATCATACATTTTAAAATATCTCTACCTGTGCAACATATTTAATCGGAGACTTCTCCAGCATCTGTGTCCAGACCTTAGGGTCTGGTAAAGAGTCGGTGCTGTAGTCAAAACCTGTCTCAAACATGCACCTGGAAATTAGACACAAACATCATGAGCTTTCATTTTTCCTTTAGCTTCTACAGTATTATCTATAACAGCGGTGTCAAACATACAGCCCTCAGGGCCAAAACTGGCCCACTCTGGGTTCACTCTAGCCTGCTTTTTTGAAAGTTTTGAATTGTGAAAGTGAAGAAAAGTACAAACACTATATTTTTGATGTTTTGCAAATTATATTTCATTAAATATGAAGATGTTTTATATTAAACTTGAAATTGTGTAACGATTGTACTCACTAAAAATCTAATCAAAATGACTCTGACACCCCCTAATCTACAACGTTAATCGACCTCTACCACAGGTAGGTTAGAGTCATGGTCAAGACAGAAACATTCTGTGGACAAGTTCTCCCACCACGGTTAACACTGTGACAGTAGGACTTCTGATTAACAGACGTACCAGTCTGGGATGTCTGTGCTGCCAGCCATGGACGCTATATTGATGACGGGGTTACGGGTCACACAGGCTTTGTAGAATCCTGGGTACTGACCAATTAGGTGACAGGCCAGGAAACCACCATGGGAACTTCCAGAGACAGCCACTTTCTCAGCATCAATCTTACTGCCTTTTAGAACACTTTCAACAGCAAACTGGTAGAGCATGGAGAGAAAGAGAATAGAAAAAATATATACAAAATATTGTGCTCTGTGCTTTCAAATGCAAGGACAAGGTACAATGAAGAACAACAGTAGAGAATACCAAGATACAATTTGGGATGTTTTTGTACTTACATGTACATCTTTCACATCTTGGTTACCAACATTACCAGGTAAAGAGAGGACACTGGCCTGACCGTATCCCAGAGAGCCTCGGTAGTTCACTGACCAAATGACAGAACGAAAAAATTCAACGCAATATTTTTATAATTTTATTTTGTTTTTAAAGATATATTCATATATTAAATATATGAACTATTTATGTCATTATGTCATATTTTGTCATTAACACCTTTTGGAACAATTCTAAGAAAAATAAAGTAATAAACAGGAAATGGTTTTCTTTTTAGGGGTCAGACATGAGAGACTTACCCTGTAATATAGCAAAGCCCATCCTGCAGAGAACAGCTGAAGAGAGGACCCACTCAGCCGTTTGCCAAACGTGAGGACCACCTAATACAACGCAATGATGACCTTTACTAAACAGATGTTCTTCAAAGACAACATTTTTCACCTTCTCGGGTACTCACCATGAGGAGAGACAATAAGAGGCAGCTTCACTCCTTCCTGCACCTCCTTTGGTTTGATCAACAATCCTTCGAAATCAATGCCAGCTACAAGACAAGAAGCAAAACAATTGAACTCTGTCGGCTTCATTTGTAGATGCTCCTCGTCGGACTTTCATCGGTTGAATGCAGTTGTTTACTGTATATAATAAACGAGGCTAAAGTGGTTTATAATTGGTGGATTTGGCAACCATGCTTATTAACTTAATATAGGAGTTCCAAAACTTTTCCATGCCAAGGCTAGCCAAATAGCTTTAGCTCAGGGGTGTCAAACACACGGCCCGTGGGCCAAAACCGGCACGCTAGGGTGTTTGATCTGGCCCGCACTTCAAAAGAAAAATTGTGTGTGATCTTACGATAATCTTTGTTTTCTTGCTCTGGAGGAGGCGTGAAAGTTAAAATCTCCCAGCTGATCTCTGGTAAGGGCTGAGAGTCTTCCAAAGTCACCCAGGTGACTTCCTCTTCAGAATCTCTGGCTGGAAGGAAACCAACCCTCTGACCAAAGGGTGGACACAAGTTATAATAAGCCAAAAAGCTGCTACCTTGAATCTCACTGTAACAAAATCAATCCTTAAACCAAAAGAGTTCTTAATAAAATCAAAGATCCTACCAGAGTTGGGGGATGATTTGGGGAAGAGTAGCTGACAACCATCAGATCTCTCTCTATGTTCAGCGGGCCCCAACTCCCAACATCACCCTCTACACACACACACAGACACACACACACACAACGTAAATAATGCCTTTTGAGTTTTACATAGTCGTGGGTGGAACTGACTGTCCCATGCTGATATTCACAGATGCAGAAACTATGTTTACAAGTCAATACGTTACTACAGTGGTTCTCAAACTGTGGTACGCATACCACTGCGCGGGGAAAATTCATATTTTCACATTTACATTTTAAGTTGAATAAATCTGAAACATACCATGCACAATTAATACAACATTTGAACATAAACATCTTTCTAAACATCTCTCCTGTGGTGGAAGCTAACAGTGAAGGCCTCTGCTGCTGTATTCTAATGTTGGTCATCATGGTGGGACTCAGAGAGCTCAATGATTTTTTGCCTAATTTTTTTGCTAAACTTCTCTAAACAGGGTACAGATACTAACTTGAAGTAAGAGACGAGACTGTTCCTGTGCTCATGTCCACCATCAGCAGATCCTTTAAAAAGAAACAGAACAATCACTGTACAACTGATCATAACAAGGCCATACTTAACCAAACACGTAAGTTCATATTTTTTGGTTTCTAAGATGAACCGTGATGCAGTGATGTACTCTACCCTGCGGCTGCGCTGAGGACAGGCTAAAATAACCCGCTGACTATCCGCTGACCAACACTTAGGAGACAACAGCACGCCGTAGACACCAGTGAAACCATCTAAAAAAAACAACACACAAACGAATATTAAACACATGTTTACAGGTTTACAAAAAGTGAAAATACTTTAGAACTCTGACCTTCTCCTGGTGTCTGTACCACATCCACTACGATGGAGGTTTTCTTTGTGTACCAGTCATACTAGGAGGCAGAAAGGAACACAGTTACTTAAGTAAATATCAGGTATCTAACAAGAATCAAGAAATTTAAGATTTAGTCAGCTTGGTCTCTTTTTTAAATTCTCACATCTCTTCGATTAAAAAACAAAACCCATTGTGCTGCGGTAGCTACTGAAACTACATTACATTCTGTGTTTTCAAAGTTTGAAGAATTGAAGAAAATGGCACAATTTTTTATTAAGGGATACTGAACACAGTCTCACCATACAGAGCTTAGAGCACTGCAAGTGTGGGCCGTAGACAGAACATTCTAAGTAGACGATCCGACACTGGTCAGGACTCAGTCTGGGTGAAAAGACTGCACTGGTGCCGGATGACAACTGCTCTAAAGGGAACAACAAACAAATACATTAGTTTACACAGGAGACAGTTTGTGGAGCAGTAACTGTAAGTGCTGAATATTTCAAATATAAAACAACAAACTTTAACAGCAAATTTAAATGTTTAAGGTGTGAGGTAACCTAATTTAAATAACGAACATTTTAGTTTTCTAATAAACGTACCCTTTAGGAATAGATAGACGATTGTGGAAAGAATTTTATTGGAAAGTAAAGCTAAGGTACTTCAGTAGACCCTTTACTATTTCCTCTCATATGTCCAGGAATAAGTAGTGAGGTTATACTGGAGAAATTATGGAAAGGTCGGAGATGATTGACATACTTCTTGGGATGTGTTAAAGAGAAAATTTGACACTACACTGGAAATAAATGCTCCTAAACAAATAATTGAGATTGACAAAAACAAAAATGCTGAACTCCAATGCACAAACTTACCACATTTCCCTCTAGTGAGATCCACATAGAATAAAGACGACCTGGCATAGAAATATACAACGTCAATAAATTTTAAGCATTTGCTTATGTATAACAGCTTGCAATCAACCTTATAGTGATTCATCAAAAATTGGTTTCACCTTCTGTTGGGACAGTGCCTAAGGCCAAGTCTAAACGGTTCGTGCCACCATCCTACAAACACCACACCTGTGTCACCAGGAGCCCAGAATGCCTGCAGAGATGCCAAAGAAGTAGAAGAGAGCAGAGATGATGTAGATTGGGATTAAAAAAAGTTTTTATTTTCACCAACGCACTTCAATCTTATGATATCACATGAATGCGAAACACGCAGACACCAGCGCTAAATTAACTCCTGGTAAGAGCAAATGGTGTAACCAGCCCACAGCAGGCTACATTAGTGTTCTAAAAAATGTGAAATAGACATATTTTTAAAAGACAACCACAAAAAAAAAAAACATTCTTAAATGTTAATGTTAATTATTTTTGTTTCTTGGCTCATCAGCGAGTGTCAGGAAATAAACTTTTTTTAACTATTTATATCAAATGTTACAGACCAATCAACAGATACATCGAAAAGACCACCTCACTTCAATCCTGATGAAAATAATATCTTGGTTTTTGTCCTACACTGTTGAACCCACCTGTCCGGGCGAGATATCTTCAGGTACACCTTCCAGCACTGAGACGTTGTCTCCTTCAATGTCCAGGACACAAAGCACTGGAGAGTTTTTACCATCCATTCCTTCTCCCCAGTCCTCACGGTAAGCAAACTGCTCCCCCTACGAAACACAAGGACGAAACCCCTTCACTTTAACAGGACAATTACATTTAATGAAAAAAAAAAGTCTTTTCAGTAGCTTCCAGAGTTGGGGAAAAAAAAGATGGATAGATCTGAGTATTTTTCATGGAGTGTCACACATGCGAGTGTCGCCTAAAAGATTGAAATGGTGCGACTACGTTAGTTTTCAATGGACACTCACTTTTACAGTCTCTTTCTTCTCCAGTCTCATAGTGTCCTCATCGTCTGCAGCAGAAGACAGCTCTGGTGAAACAGTCTGATGAAAAACAGAATACAGACAAAAATGTATCATTTCATAATGAATCAATTTCATTATATATATATATAGATATATACATACTCTCTTTGGACTTTGCGGGAGAGGTTAGTGTTTTTCTGTTGCTCCTTGTTTTTAGCATTTTATTTAATTTTGCACAGTATATTTATGTTATATGTATTTTGCAGGAGCTCGGGCAGTGTCCAGGAGGAAAATATAGTTTGTTTCTGTATGAACTCCGTCAGGTATGTTTCCATGTTGTACGCTGTTAGCGCTTTTTCTTCAAACTTTGTGGGGTTACATATATAACACATTAAAATTGCTTGAATTTGATTCAGAACACGTTTTTACTTTTTCTTCAAACTTTGTGGGAGAGGGGAGAGGGCAGTGTCGAGGAGAAAAATGTGTTTCTGTATGAACTCCGTCAGATCATTAAAGACGTTTGTGACAGCAGCACGACGGTTTTCATTAACACAACGCAGAGACTAGAGCGGTTACATATATAAGACATTAAAATGGCTTGAATTTGATTCAGAACACGTTTTTGACCAACCTGAAAGAAGGATTCTGCCATTGGTCTCTTCCTCTCAGCCACATACAAGAGGTGAGTCTCAGAGTGAGACCAAACCAAGCAGCCAAACTGATCTAAGGAGGAGGCAAACTGGTTCGATTTTTGGCAAAATAAAAGTTTAAATTCTGATTTAAGTCGCAGGTTAATCACCGTCATCGTAAACTTTGCCGTGCTTCTTCAGTGCTGTCAGGTCAACGCTCTTAACCTTGATGTTTTTACTCCAAATCTGAAATGTCAGAAATAATAATATTTTATACCTAAAAACAAATAAGTCAATATTTAGGAAAGTAAAATAAATAAACACTCACCTCCAGAAACTGGTTTTCTTTATCCTGTTTTTTCCAGTCTCTCACGACAGCCTTCATTTCCCCTGAAGGGGAATCTTTACTAAGAATTCTGACAGAAGAACACACATCACTATTGTGAGAAACGGAGTAAATGAATAAAACATTGTTTCAATTTAAAGACCCTAAAAATTGTACGTACTCTCCTTTAATCTCGGTGCAGTTTCCTGAAGCTCCAGAGTAGACCACAGATGTATCATCGTGGAAAACAATGTACTGTCGGCAAAACTTAACATTTTCGTTCCTCTCCAAATCACGTTGGTTCCATTCTAAAAAAAATATATATATAGACAGAAAGTATTGGCAAAAAAAA